GACTGGGATTGACTGCGTCTCCAGGATCTGAAAGGCACAGAGGTAGCATAAACCTCTGGTTTGGTGTTTGGCTGAGGTGTGAACTGGCAAGCTTGAGCTCGCTTTTTCCACCGGCATGTCCTCTGATGTTGCAGAGTGTCGTGTCTCCACTGGGGCTACTGAAACTGTAGACAGTTATGTCATTCGAGGATCTGTCCCAAATGCTTAATAACAACCCATCATCCCTGTTTCCGGATATTTTCTTTTACACTTCCTGCTTTGTGAGGACTTACTGCTACTAGAAATTTTGCCATGATGTGTTTCTGGAACTCAGATCTGAGAATGCATTTTACACATTTATGGCTGGCAGTAAATATCATAATGTCTGAAACCTCTGGTTTAGCCAGCTTTCCCAGTTTGAGATCAGTTATTTCACCTTTGTGTCTACTGAATAGTTTTAAATATGTTACCTGTTCAAGTTCTGTGGATCAGTGTGTGCCTAAATCCAGTAAAATACGTTGGCAGCCTATAAACTTGTTGCAAAACACACCCTTTCATCATAGGGCAGCAAAGACCTGACATTTCTTTTCAGACTGCTTTCAGCTTTTAATATTTAATATTGTGATCATCCGTTTTCGATCATGTTCTTTTTATTTAATAAGCTGTTGAAAATATTTACTTTCTTCTCCAAACATCTCTGTCTTGTAACCATTCTGGAGGCATCTGGAACTGAAGCCTTTGATACTCTGTTTATCTGATTTTAGCTCATTCAAAATTTCTATCAGAGAAATCTGGAAATCATTAAGATAATTTATGTTCTCCATCTAAACCCATTAAAATAGTAGTGATTGTAATTCTCTAGGCTCTGTGTATGTGTGTGGTTGATTTTTAAACTTTGTTGTTTCCAGGATGTTCTAATAACCTTGGCACTCCTTCTGCCTTAGTGTGGAAGAACTATTGCTGAGTTACATTGGATTATCTTACTTTGGCTTGATACTGAGAAGAGAGAAATGAAAAAAAGGTTACTGAAATCAGTGGAAAACACCAAGAAAGAGAAGGAATTTGGAACATAGTGATAGGATCAGAGTTCAGTTCCCTCTTCTGCTGCAAGTGATTTGATTTCTCTATCTCAGTTTTTTGTCTGAAAATCAAGGATAATTCTCCTTTTCATCCTGTACTTTTCTCAGTCTAATATCTCCAGAATAGAGGATGTCTTTGATGTACGCATATTGCCCAACAAAAACTGACCCCAAAACTTAGGATTCCTTGACTCTGTCTCTAACTTTTGGTTACAATGGATGGCATTGCTGTACTTTTTGGAATTTGGTGGTGCACCTAAAAAATGTCTCTATGGTTCAGGTTTATTTGGTAAATTTATTCCCAGATGAATGCATGTTAGCACAACCTTTTAACAACTGTTAAATGATATACTGAGGTTTCTTGGGTAGCTGACACCAGCAAAAGGTTATGGCATGTGGGAGAAGTTTAACCTTTGATAGAAATGTCAACTTCTGTCAAGATCACGAAATACTTGTTTAATCTTCTACAAGATTTTTGTTCATTTTCAATTAATAATAAAATTGAATAATAATTCGAGTTAAATTACATGGAAAACAACCTTCTAAATTTCTCTCTGTCCCACATGGTTAAGACAAAAGTTTTGCATGCAGTGGAAGTTGTATAACTAATCGTAGGCAACTTGGGAAATACAGATGTGAGAAAGTAAATGAACCGGGAGCCAAGCCATCTAATTTACTTCCAGTATTGCTTTTCATAACTAAAACAAAAAACCAAATATATTTATCTCTGTAGCTTAGTTAAGTGAATTAAAACTTTAAAAAATAATTGAGACCATCCGTGTCGTGATTTTGCAAATAAAGCAAAGTACTCTAAGCAAAATGAGGGAGGACTGTAATGTAGATGATGTGTCCCTCAGCAAATGCTACCATTTTTTTTGTAATTTGGCTGTGGTATAAGTCTAGGAACACAAGCGCAAATTTTGTCATTGAAACCATTATATTTTTAACCTCAAAAGTGTAAACTGTTTGAGTCTCTTACTCTTGGAACTTTCTTTTCAAAATACTGTATTTAAGCTGAAACTGAATCGGAAACTCTTAAGTTATGCGTCTATGTACTTTGGCACTGACTACTGATATTACCTTGCCTACAAAACAGTAATCTGTAAATAGTGTACTCTTCCATACAGTAGGCAGTGATGAATTGTTTTGTATTTGTCTTCAGATAGAAAAAAAAAAAAAGTATGAATGTTTGCATATTGATAAATGAGAAAAAAAAAGATAATAGTCAAAGACTGTCATAGGTTAATTGATGTTACTGTGAAAAACATGGTCTTTTTTATAGATAGAAGTACAAAATATGTAGAATTGCATTATTGCTGTTATATTCTCAATACCCTTATGTAGCCTTTTCTTTCTAGGTAAGGCACTCAACCCTGTGATAGAAACAAGTGCTTGTGACAGACAATTTACATTAGTTTATTTGCTCACATTAATGTTCCAGCAAAACAATTCTGGTGAAAGAAATTACTACTGTGAACTGAATTTTCTCTGATGCAGAAAAACTAATTTTTCCACTTTATGTAGCTGGAAAGCAGGGCAGTTACTGACATTTTGGTTTCTCCACCATCAGTAGCGAATAAATTCAATCTGGACATTTTGAGATAAAAGACTGTTTTCCCTGTGCAAACTGCCACTGAGGCTTAGATACCATTGTTGCAAAGCTTAGAGCAAACAAAGCAGCTGTTTCAGCCCACTTTAAACATGGTGAACAAGAGTAAAGCATATTAACTCCAGCTGTGTACTGATAACAGCTGGGAAGGAAAATCACTTCAAGAGAACCTTAAAGTAAACTTTGAATTCTAGCAGGCTTAGCTGTCATGAGTGCGCCTTCAAGGGAGAAGCAGCAGTGAAAATTTGATTCTTAGAAACATGGAGAATTTAATGAGAAATTCCTGTGCCTCTTTTGGTGCTTATGTAAAGATGCAGAGCATGTTCTGGAGTCAGTGGCACTGCCTCTGAAGATTCTCCATGCAGATTTCATACTGTACTTACACTCAGGGACAATTTTATGATCAGGACAAGTACTGAGTGATGGGTTCTGTGCAGAGTAATGGTGTCCCTTTTAAAGCAGGCATTTGCACCCCTGGCTGTCTGGTTAGAGACTATACTGTAATCTCTTCAGTAGTATACTGTTTTCCAGATTAATGTGTACCAGTATTCAGCCTACTTCTGAGGTTTCTATGTTCAGGTCACTTAGGTTTTGTTAATTTTGGTCTGTTGGCACAAAGAGCAGTATAAAACTAGAGGCAATAATTAATGTCACTTGGTGGTAAAACCAGCAAAAATTATTCAGAGAAATTGTATTAAACCAAATATTCCTTAGGTCATTGTTGCAGTGGAATTATGGTTTACTTAGGTTTAGGTCTAATGGGAATATATTTTAAGAATTTCCTTCTAATCAGTACTTTGTTACAGTGCATGATTAAGAATAATTCTAGAACAGTTATGTAGTTGTAATAATAAACCTTCATTGTATTTCACACTAGTATTTTAGAGATAACAAGTTAATTGAAGGCTTCCTCATGAAGCCACGTGCTCTCAGTGATTCTGCAAAACCTGTAAGTTAAAACATAAATAGCAACGCTGAGGTACTGTAGAGCGCAAAAGAGCAGGTCAGTAAATATATGCTGTGTTTGGTCAGTATTTGCAAATTGATATGTCTATTGATAACTTCCAGTTGCACCCTACCCATGGAAATAAATAACATTAAGGTAAGAAAGCACGTCTGCTAAGTTAGATGACGTGTCCGTAGCTTAATAGTTAGATGCCGATCTTAATTGGCTTTTAATGAAGGAAAAGTTTTGGGGACATTAAAGTTGTTTCCACAGTATTTGTGGTTCACATACAAAGAAAGTGACGTCACTGTTCAAGCTGCATGTGGGAATGGGTTCCGTGCTGGAGTGCAGAAGCTGTCAGCAATTTCTTCCGATTGAAATAACTGAGCAAATGTGTCCATTTTTGTGTAATTGTCATTTCTCTGTGCTTTCTCCCTTTTGCTTACTTGTTGTCTTCCCCATGTTCACATTATGTTTGGTGTCTTCTAACCCCCATGGAGTTGGACTCATGTCTTGGGTATGTTCTGCAAAGAACCTTGTGTACTTTAGGTAGATGTAAAAGGACTAGACTTAGACAGCTAAGTTTTGGATGGAAGGGAATGCAGCTGTCTGTGTCGTTCTGAAAAGAGAACATAAGGATATGAATAAAGACATTTAAATGAGGCCAGTTAGTATTGTCATAAAGTTCTTTTAATGTTAACCAGCTGTTACAGACTTGTTCTCATTCTTTAGTAGATTACATGCCTCTTATTTTGCTGGAAGTCAACGCACTCTATTTCTGTATGCATAGCAGACAATTATATAATAAAACAAGTCTTAGTTTCATGTGTATACAATTATGAGAAAGCAGTAGTTCCTCAAAGAAGGCAATTCTGGCATCATTCACAGAGTGTTTTCAAATGTAAAGTATGGAGTATGTTGAGTGAAAAATGTAAACGTGTATGGATGTATGTGAAAATATTACATGAGTGAAAAGAGGATAGGAGAAACATGAACAAGGGAAATAAAATAGAAACCATATCTTGCAAATGACTTGACAAGTGGTTTTTCAAAACAGCTGTGAAGCTGAGTAAACTCCAAAGCCTGATGGCATACAAAAATATAAGGAGAATTTTAGTATTCCTGAAAGGCAGGGATCTGTCTGGGTGGGTCACTGAAACTACTTGAATGCCGTACATTGAAATTATTTTTTCTTGTGCTTTTAAATAAAAAACAATTTGTATCAGTGAGAGAAAGCTGATGGCTGTGATCCTTTTATGACTGAAGTAACTTTCTCACTGGCCCTGGGACTGTGTCCAGTAAGCAATCACTTATTAAATAACTGATAATGTTGCATTTTGATTTTAGTTATTCCCATCACTACGGTTTGTTTTATTGTGTTTTTCAGGTTTGATAACTACACTGAATCTTTGACTGTAGACTCCTCTAAACTGCAACACTGAAAACAATGGCAACAGAATGTATAAAAAACTGCTGTAAATGGTGTCTCTGCATGGAAAAAGAAAAAAATTATTGTGAGTTCTGACATGACGTTGACTAAGGGTTTTGCTGTTCTGGCTTCATTAATGATGAGACTTCCTATTAATAAAATGATTGTGTCACCCCTGATAAATGAATTGTTTTACAAATCCAAAATTATTTCCATAACTCTACTTGGAGATTGAACACATGCTTGCTAGTGTTATGAATTGGAACTGAAAAATAACACTTGTCTCTAGTCTGCTCCTTGCATTCTAGAATGCTGTCAAAAAAGCCAGCTTTTTTATCCAAGGTTTTGTGAAGGTCTTGTGTCTTTCAAAGTCTGGGAGTGAACACTTTATTTTTAACTCCCTTCCTATTTGCTGCTAGAATTTTCTTTGGTATCTTAGTTGTTTGAAGAACTCTTCTATGATACAAGTGTATCTCTTGTAAATAATCATTTAAGAGCAAGGTAGCTATAAATATAGAAGTTTGGGTAACAAAGTTTTTGGATCAGTACAGGTGTGTACTGATGAGTACAGGTGTGTACATCACGAGAATGAATATCTTTACCAGGTTCTAGTCCTGAATGCTGGTAAAACTGAATACTAGCAGCCGTTAAGTAATGTATCAAGAACAGATCCTACTAAATAAAAGAGATCTGTTCATAGTATTGTTCAAAACTTAATGCACATGTGGGCTGTCTGTGTTTCTTGCTCTTTATTTTTAGCAGTTTCCATGGAGCAGGATTCTGAAGCAGTAGCTGCAAGCAAGCCAACTATTGTAGAGAAGCCTCCATTGTCTTCTGTGTCAGTGAAGCGTCAAGTTGGCTGCTCAGAGGATTATCTGCTTTCTAAACTGCCTCTGGATGGTCAGGAGGTACCATTTGTGGTCCCTCCATTCAAACTGGCTTATGTACAGCCGAAGAACCTTCCTAGTATCTCACATGCTGGAGGGATTCAAGGTAAAGTATAAACAGCGTTAGCTTCTGCTACTTCTTGAAAGTTGTCAATATTTCTACTGAAAACATATGTTTGCAGAACTCTAGAATACTGGTCTTGTTTCTTACCTCTCTGGACACTCAGAGAGGTTTTGAGAAGGATGTCATCCCAATATGAATCTCTGTGATATTGCATTGAATAAAACAGAGGGTTGCACACTGCAATCATACTGAAAGTAATGGAAAACACATAAAGGAAACAGATGCTTTACTAAAGAATTTATTGGAGGCAAGGAAAGACCTAACACATCTTCAGCATCCAGATCACTCAAGTAAAGAAGGAGGGTGGTCTGGCTTTCATGTTTAATGTACTGATATGTTTTAACATACTAATATTCCTATTAAAATTTCACCAGTAAATAGCATGTGCTACTACATGGTGGAACTTTTTGCCCCTATTTCCTCCTCTTTTTGCTGCTCTTCGGGAGACCAGAGGTCACAGATCTCAGTGGTGTAAGGTTGCCCATGATGCTATGATTCTTTGCTTCACAACAGTCTTGTGCTTCAACTTCTGTCAGTCTGATGCTCAAACTGCCAAAATGATGTACATATTGCACACAGGCACAGTGGCATTTTAAAGGAATAGGAGCCTGGCCCAGTAACATGAGTTACAGGACATATGCTGTCGCTAGGCTCTTGGTCCTGTCAGGAGATGCCGAGAATTAGGTAAGGGAGAAGTTTGGCACAGGGGCATACCTGAATGGTTGTTTTCTCTAGAATTGCTTTGCCTCGGTGGCATAATATGCTGGTAGTATGCATTTAGTCCCATGTGATTGTATTTCTTTTCTGAGGGTAGAAACCTAATAACTGAAAAAGGTCAACTGCATGTTACATAATAACTAATGCAGTACTATCTTAACTTTTTTGTGTTTGTGTGGTTTTACTCCCACCCTTCTCTCTTCTCCCTTGCTGTTGCTTCTTTTTTCCTCCTGCATGCCTATTATCAGACTTCCTCCTCACCCTCACCCACCCCTTCTGGTAACACTGGCACCAAAGCCAAGCTAATCAGCCTAGCAGAGCTTTTCAGTATAGATTGGCCATTCTGTGCCTGGTCTTTTTAGTGGGTTTTTTTTGTGGTGTCTGCCTCACCAGATATGGACAGGCAACCTAATAGCTGGAGGTAGAACATGTGAGGCCCTCCTCATCTCTGAGACTGATCTCCTTCAGCCTTCCCACTTGCCTGCTAGTTCTTTTAAGTCTGTATTTGGACAAGGTGTGGAAGTGCAGGGCATGTTCCTGGTAATCCCCTTTCTTACTGGTTCTTGGTTCAGACTCTGCCTTACTTTATCCTACCTCATCCTCAAGATACTGTACAGAGAAGTCCATCAGGGACTCTGAGGTATGTGAGTTCTCCAGAGAGAAGGAAGATTTGTCTAACAACCTTTAGATAAATGTTTTCTTTGTTCATGCTGTTCTACACAATCTTACCAGTCAGTGACTTATAAACCGGTGACTTGTATTCATTGGGAATTCTGCATCATCATCATCATCATAATTTCTGAAAGACCTGGTGAGCAGAGTGGTCCTTAGGCTATGAAGCTGGTAGATCTTCTAGCACAATGACCTGACTCTTCATAATTGTCTCTCTTGAGCAAATATTTTAAATTCTTGAACAAATATTTGTAAAGTGGCTCTTATGTCAAGTAGACAACTTCCATTTCTCCTCCCAAATATAAATACAACTTTTTAAGCCTCATTAAAGTTGTGTTTAAAAATGCAAAGTTTACTTTTTCAGGAGACTTACTAAATGCAGTGAAGTGTTCTGTCATTCCTTCTTCACATTAGCCAAAGCACCAGCATATTCAAAAAATGTATTTAGAGTATTTTCTTAGACTGTTGTTAAATATCTGTAGAAGTCCAGGTTCTGCTCTCAGCTCCACTCCATTTTCCTTCAGTGAGACAGGACATACTCAGCGTTAGTTCTTGGCATCCCTTCTGAAAGCAATTAAGTTCTGGCAGCCTTTCTCTTCAGTACTCACTGCAGTGTGTCTCATGCTCTCACAGAAGTAAGCTAGCAGGAAGAAGTGTGCTCCTGGTCTGGAACACTGGCTTTTCCGTCATCTGTTGTGTAGCAATTCTTTATGGCCTCCTAGTATTCATCCCAATTTACGTCATGCTGAAGCCCATTATACTTGAATTCTTGCTTTATCATCTCATGTTCTATCTCACTGTTTTAGTTATTCTTTTTTACTTACTCTACTAACACCTGCAGGAAAGGATTTTACTGCAATTATAGTTTGCCTCTTATGCTGCAACATATTTGCAGACTTGAAGGCACTTTATATTGGGGTAAAGATCTTTTTATCCAATAGGTTGAAGTCTAGGGAGGGGGGAAGTGATGGAAGCAAATGTCAGACTTCGGCAGAGTCCAAGTCACCTATCCCCATTCTCTACTGTACTGTTATATGTGGCTTATTTTTGCTTTAGACAGACAAAATGAAGCACTACAGCCATGTTCTTTACTGTTACGGTGACCAAGACATGCATGTTTTTCTGAAATTATTATAAATAAAGGAAATAAAAATAGGGCAGCAGTGCTGTAACGGGCTGAGTAAAAGGCTGGGATTCAGACATTCTCAGATCCATCTACCTGTGCCTGAGCCAACGATTCAAGTCATTTTGGACCAGTGATTTTACCACTGACAGACTTCCTATGGAAATTGGATGACACAGAGACTGCAGTCACAAGTTGTATTATCTTTCCATACAAGACCCTCTTGAAGGTCTGGAGATCCAATAGCTGAGTGGAAATTTCGTCAGTAAGTCAGAGGTTTTCTGTACACATGGCCTTACTTTCCCTGTTAGTTTCTGTCTTGCTGTCTGTCTTTAGAGCCTTCTGTATTTTAACTAGTTAGGCATTTATCATGAAACTCCAAGACAAGGTATACATAGCTTTTCATGTCCAATTTAGTTCTAGCATTTGCAAGCACACTGTGGAAATCTGACATAATGCATGTGTGTTTTCTTTATTTTTTCTTTTTTTTTTTTTTTCCTTTTCCCAAAGTAGATAATATTGAAATATTTTGTCCTTTGCCCTGAAGGCACTCTGCCTGCCTTATGAAGCCAGGCAGCATGTGTTATGTCTGGAACTTTTGCATTTGATGTTTATTTGTGCTCTGCAGAATCTGCCAGAGCCTCGTTTGGTGACCGGAAATCAGAACTGCACAGCGTGTACCAATGGCCCCGCTATGACGTGTACAACCCCTTCTATTTGGAGCACCGGGTTTCGCCAGATCTGATGAGGCGCTTCCAAGCAAAATCAGATCATAGGAAATTATATGGATCAGGTGAGAAGGACAGCACTCTTACTGTTCTGTCTTTCTCCCTTTCCCAGGGTTTATAGATTAGACTAATGGCTTTTTGCTCTTGAGAAGATTACAGCAGTTCTCAAACTGGCCTGGATGCTACAGACACTTCATGGTTGGTGAATCAGTCTGTGGAGCCAGCTCTACTTGATTTCCAGCTGTGTTGTTACTTTCTGTCTTTTGAGGTCTTGCATGCATCATACAAAGGTATGGCAAAGCAAGCTAGCATAGCTGCTTTCAATCCAAACCAGGATGTAGTACTGGAGATTCCAGCTACCAGTAATAAGAGTGTTTGAGGGAGACGAAAGAAGGAAGTCGGCAGTGTGTTGAGTGGAGACATGCCTGAGGAGTATATATATGGAGAGAGGAATAAGCATCAAAAAACATTTGGGAGCAGATGATAATAACAGGTGCAAAATGGGGAGTGATGATCTATGCCTATGTTTTTGTAGTTTGCTTTCAAAGGTGCATAAATGTCCCCACTCCTCATTATGTAAATGTGTTTAAGAACAGGGAAGGGCTGTGAGATAGTAAATTTAGATACAAAGTGTTCGGCTACCTTGGTAAAAATTTTCTTCTGTGCTGTTCATTGGTATATGTATCCTATAATGAATGTTTAGTGTAAAGTAGATAACTAGCTTGCCGTGATTGCTAATTGAAATGCATTCAGAAAACTTACACACTCGAAGAAATGTACACACATCTATTGAATCAGAAGCTGGCAACAGTATGCATTTTTAAAGATGTTTTATTTAGAATGGTATAGCATGCTTATCTTACAGCTGCAGGAAATGTCTCCGTCTGTGTCCTGTTTTAAAAATAATTCTGAATCACCATAGAGACCACATGAAGAGACTACTCCATATATTTTTTTTTTTTTTTTTAAGAGAACAAAACACATGTAGAATTTTGCTGCCTTTAAGGCATATGGTTTTGCTAGGCTTTGTAAGTACCTCTGGTGGGAGCCAAACGGGTTTTATAAAACTGTCTTGAACATCTTCCCTTCAGTTCGTCATTTCTTTTTCCATTTTTCTTCAAGCTAAGTAAACACTTCAGTAGTTTTGTCTTAGTAAGCTTAAACACAAGAAAGGTCACTTTAGTGTGTCTAGAGTACAGTTCTAAAATGCCTCTTCCTCCAGAGTTTTTTGACAGCTGTTTCAAAAGCTAGATGATTCTTCTCATGCACATTGATAGACTATTTAAGCAAAACTCTAAGCCTATTTTGTTGCAGCAGGTGCTATGATACTTTACACGTGTGTGGGCTTGAGAACTACAGAATGTGTTTATTTGGAAGGTATGAAGTGAAATTCTTGAATTTTCATGTGAATACCCCTCTCTTCATCTTAGAAACAAAAACAAAACCAGCAACGAACTGAAAAATTGATTAATATTTTTCCAAAATTCTAGTTGTTACTGGTAAACAACATATGTTTATGGTTTATGCTTTTTTTATATTTTACAGACAGCTTTCTCAGTGTAAAAATTGTCTTTTTTTCCATTAAAAATATAATTTTTTGAAAGAGGCACCATCTCTTCCTCCACCACCTCCATGTTCTTTGAAAACTTTAACCAGCTTTACTAGAAACAGCATATCATTCTGTCTTTAAAGCATTTCAGTGGTTGGTAACCTATAGGCTCAAATGGATGTTTCCTAGTAGTTTGTGAAAGTCATGAGTGCTGAATATGGAATTTCCATAAACATCATCATTTTCAAACCAAGTAATGGGCTGGTCTCTCCTATTTACTCCCATTATATCAAACAAGATTTCTAGGCCTCTGTACTGGGTCTGGCTGAACTGGAATTGGTTTTCCCCTATAGCAGCCCTCACGGTGCTGTGGTTTAAGGTGGGAGCTGGCAGGGTGTTGGTAGCACCCTGGTGCTGTGGCTACTGCTGAGCAGTGCTTACACAGCACCAAGGCTCCTTCCGACATTTCCCCCCGTGGGACGGGGTGGGCAAGATCTTGAGAGGGGACACGGCCAGGACAGCTGGCCCGAACTGAGCCAAGGGCTATCCCAGACCATACGACTCTGCTCAGTGTAAAGCTGGGAGAAAGGGGGAAGGGGGGGGTCACCCTTGGTCCTCCGAGGCAACCACTCCGCGTATGGGAGCCCCGCTTCCTGAGAAGGCCCCACATCACCTCTTCATGGGAAGGAGATAAATCTGATTACTTTTTTTTTTGCTTCCGCGTGCAGACCTTTGCTTCACTTTGCTTATTTTAAGACTGTTTTTGTTTTACCAACAAGGGTGGTTTTGGTTTGGTTTGGTTTTCCCCTATCTTATTTTCTTTCCCCTCTTTGCCCTGTTGAGAAAAAAAGGGGAAGGGAGGGAAGTGATAGAGTGACTTGGTGGGTACCTGGCATTTAGCCAAAGTCAAACCACCACAGCCTCGTATGATATTATAATGCTATTTCTACACCAGACTCAGTCAACAACTCAGCCCTTTTGTATCATGCACAAGAGAGAATTTGGAGCTTATGCCAGACATACAGATCTTCATTAAATTTTATCTAAATTATGTTGTTACTTTTCCTGCCATGGGTTGTCAAAACTTTCTTCATCTTTTGTTCTCTTTTTCTTCTTTGGGAAAAAAAAATAATCTTTATTGTCACATCTCACAATAAACATAATTGGCTCTTTCTTTTGATAACAATAAAAGGGAAATAGATTTTTAGTATTAAGCTATGATCTGTAAACTCTAATGGAAGTCTTCTGAAATACCATAACAGAGCACTGCAATAAAAAGCAATTTATTGTATCAGAGAGTCTTAGAAGTTAAACCATACTGCTTTCATTCATTTCAGTATGGTACAGTTTTGAAGTTGGAAGGCTTTGAAATCCTCTTGAACATTACTTGAGTCAGCAAAGATTCCTGAAACAGTGGCATTAATTCAGCTCTCATTTTCTACTATTGTTGCATAATACGCATAGACAATGTGCTTTAGCTCTGTATTCCTTTGAGGTCAAAAGAAAACTGATAGGATCTACTTAACCACCTGCAACTACTGAGGGAACTACCCTTCTATAAAATGAAGATCTTTTTTTTGTGCCATAACAAGTACCTGTCTCTTAGAGTTAATACTTGCTTTGTTTGAGATCTAGTAGGGGTGCAGAGTATGGTGCTTTGGACTGTGTTCAGTAAAGCAAGGGAGATGAGGCCAAGTTTAGCAGGCAGCATGTTTCTGCCACTGGGATCTTTACAGGGGAAAAAGTTCAAAAAGGAGACCAGGCTAAACCCCGATTCTGGATGACTAGATTTAAAGACAAGGCTTTTGTGTTTTGCTAAAGCATCTACTAAAAAACCCTTTCTCTTGAGGCAATAACTTTGAGTCAGGCTCCCCATTCTACTGATGCTACCAATGTGACCAGTAAGTTTGAACTATATAAGAGATGGAATTGATCAAGGTATTTTGATGTCTTGTTCTCTCCATTTTGTCATTTCAGGTAAATGTTTTGGGAAAAGGAAGTAGGGAAAGGTGCTGATGTCCTAGGTTTCAATTCTACCATAGGTCTACTTAAATTTAAAAAATTTTTTTTTTTTTTTTAGCAGTGATGCTTACATGATTTGTATTGTTCTCCTTGTCGTTTTAGTTAGTGATTTAAGACCTAGTACTTTGCCTGGATCATTTGATGTAAGTCGTTCAATGTTTGATCTCAGAAGCCCACCTCATCGATTCATGAAGGTGAGTTCCCTTGTAACTTAGATTATACTGAAAACTCTTGATGTATCTGTTCCTGTTGCATTGTATTTTCAAAGTAAACACTGAAGGGCATTGTAGTATGCACTAGAAGGACTAGAGGGAAAAGTTTAGCATCTTGACCAGCTTCAAGAGGGTATTTCCTGGTGTCTCCTCTGACTACTGCCGTTCTGGCCCAACAGAGCTGTTGAGGAACCTGAGCAGGCTGTTAGGCAGGACAAGACAGACAAGAGGTTGTGGTTCAGCATCTTGTGATTTCTCCCATCAGTTGAAAAATGGAACATTAGAAGTTTCCATTGTTTAAAAAACCACTGCATTTTTCTTCAAATAATTGTCTTTTACATAGAGAAGTAGCATGTATATATCAGTGAGCAGAAAAAAATCTGTGCTGGCCATCTGTGTCCTGTATTAGCTCCTTGTGTCAAAGTAGTAATTCCATGCTGCTGAATCATGAGGTTAGTAGAAACTGCAAGAATTATTTGAAATTGGGTGTTGTTTTGTTTTCATCATGTCTTGTCTGATGGTAGAATCTTTCCTGCTTTTTGCATCTGTTGCTCTGAATGAAGTGACTTTTTTTTCCCCCTAGAGATATGATTCAGTCTCCAGTGTACCTAGCAGTACCTCTTCCAGGAAGGATTCACAAGGCAGTAACAGGAGTCTGGGTAATGTTTTGTCTGTTCACCTTGTAATGAAGTATTTCCCTTGCACTTGGAACATTAAGCTGTCTAAGATGTCACCACTGTTGGTGACTTTTTTTTTTTTTGAGATTAATCTGATTAGCAAGTCAGTTTGGAGATTACTTTGCAGTTTGAAATTAAGAGTTTTGGACTTACCTTCCTGTTGTCAGAAGACGGAGCAGGTGAGCCTTTCAGGAGTTCTCATGCTTTTGAAAAGTTCATTCCTGTATTTACTACCCCAGTGGACTAAGAAATGACAGATGTTCTGTTAGAATAGAATGTGGCACCTTGGCCATAGCTCTAGTCCTTTTTCATGTATTGGTGTTTTTCTGTGGGAAGTACCTGGAGTGCCATACCCATATGACACTGAGAATTTGACAGGCAAGAATATTGCATGCAAACCTCGTCTCCTTATTTATGACAGAATGCTGAAGAAATGGAGATACTGCAAAATAAACACTCAAAAGCTAATCAAATCCCTACAAAAGTCACCCTGCTGGAAATCAGAATTTCATGTAGTCTCCTCAAAAAGAAGACCTAGTTTCAGTCATGACAGAGAAACGCTGAATACTAAATGGGTATTCTGACTTGGAGAAAAGAATAATAATAAAACGTTTACTAGGCTGGAATTGAAGTCTGAGAAAGATAAAAAGCAGGCCAATTTATAAACTTAACAGTGGAAGTGATTAAGGGAAATGATAGATCATAAATATGTTCATGTCTCAAGCACATGCTTTTTTTTCCTTCTGTAAGTTGTTTGAGTACAATACAAGTTGTTAAATGCAATAGAGATAATTGAGGTAAATGTGAAGGCTTTTGGCTATGCAGAAAGTCAGGCCACAGGACTTCATGGATATTTTGTCCTTAAAATGTAGGTGTTAAGATATTTGAAAGTTATTTTGAGAGTTTTCAAAGATAGGCAGTCCACCTACTAATCAGTCCCTTTATTCTTGGAATGAACTTTTAAGATGTTGTTAAAAACACTAATTGGCTTTCTTCCATAGATACTATTACATTATCAGGTGATGAACGAGACTTTGGAAGACTGAATGTGAAGCTGTGTTATGTTTCTTCTGTAGAACAGATTTGGATCACGGTTTTACATGTAAGCAAATATAAATAACTTGATTATTATTTACTCAAATAGCTATTTTACTATACTTAGTGTTAATTCTCATTAAATTTGGCTCTCTTACTTTAAGGCATACTTTTACAAGAGAAAGAAAATTACTTCCAAGTATTAATAAATTTCAGTCAAATATAGTACTGGGCTTCATTCAAAGTATCTTCCTCTCTTTTTTTTTTTTTTTTTTTCCCCGTTGCAATCTCTGTTCCGCTGCAGTAAAATAGTAAAAAGTGGTATATAACTCTTTGTTACTCTACATATGTTCTAATTGTGGAATGAGGAACTGTTCAGCATAAATAAGAAAGCTGAGCTGGTCATAGGCTGGTCCTGCTGTAGAAATTTTCCTGTGGAAATTTGGAGGCAGCAAATTGGAGCAACTTTGAAGGAAGCACTTAACTGACTTTAAATATAACAATTCCTTCAGGGCAGAACCATAATAGCACTTTGAGGACATGTAGCTTCTTGTGACTTTTTCGTTAGCTAATGTGATACTGTTATGCTGGCTGTTTTGTGTACTTCCAGGAGCTGTGAGTAATTTGTAGGCAATAGAACTCTGAGTAGTCAGAAACCTCATAATTGCATCAGGCGATAAATACTACATAAGGGATTTCATGATTTATCTGTTGTCAAATTGCCGTATAGTGAAATCATTAAGGTCTACTGAATAACTTTTTACCCTCTGATTGTGAAAATTAATTATTAAATGATCTGAAGTGACACCGTCGTTACACTGGCTTTGATTTATATTCAGTATTACGGGAGTTATGCATAATTCTAGAACAGTGTAAAAGTAGAGGGAAGATCAGAGTTTTACATTGTATAAACTGACTGTGTTTTCAATGTTGCAGTGCAAAGACCTGAGCTGGCCTTCTAGCTGTGGAGCAAATCCTCGTATCTGTGTCAAGGGAATTCTCACACTGCCCAAACCAGTGCATTTCAGATCTTCTGCCAAGGAGGGGTGCAATGTAAGTAGAGGCAGGGAAAACACCAATAAATCTGCCCCCCCACCCCCCAAAGAAAGAAAAATTAAATGTAAATGGATTTTTAAAATGAACAAACATCTACTCCTATACCACATTTGCTGTGATAGTTGCCTAGGTTCAGGTTACTTCGCCCCCACCCCCAACTTCTTAAAATTGTATCAGAATTCTTGTTCCACTTCCTCCCCATTCCTCCTTGCTTGCGTTGTGCTGCCACCCTCCTCCTCTCCCAGGTCTGCAGGACAGATAGGCTCATAGGGGACTGAACCATGAGCTGCTGGCCTTGGCAACTCAGTGGTGGGGGACTGAAGGAAGACTGGGCATACCTGTAGGTGCACATTCACTCCAGGGAAGGTGGATGACGTACTGCCTCTCACTAGCACAGGAGACAAGGTTCACACTTCCTCTCTACAGAAAACACTAAGAATTGGTTGCATGGGACAAGACTCCTGATAGTAGCAGTAAAGGAATATTAAGGGGGTGAAAGGTAAAGCGACGTAAACCTCCCATGCTGTGAGTCAAAGGTGAAATAAAATAAAATTAGCGGGAGAGACTGAAGCGAAAAGCCACAGAAGAATTTGCTATGACAGTGTGCATGTGCTGTTGTAAAGCTCCAGAAGAGACGGCCTCAACTTGTTATGGTAGTGAAAAATAATCCAGAACTTTGTCCCTGTCAGGGTGTGACAGTGAGATGGTGAGTCTGTGGGGGCTTATCACTGTAAAAGCACAGTTTTCCATAGCAAGCTAAAATGGTAGCGGTGAGCAGTGTCTATAGGACCAGGAAGCCTTGGTTTCTAGGTATCAGGCTCGGTGCAACTCTCTTACAATGGCGATGTTACTCGTCTGTTTTTCTTTCTAGGACATTGAATTTATGGAAACTTTTGTATTTGCTATTAAACTGCAAAGCCTGCAGGCTGTCAGATTGGTATTTAAAATCCAGACACAGACACCCAGGAAAAAAACAATTGGAGAGTGCTTCTTGGCGCTGCGGGAGCTCAGCTCAGAGGAGTCAAGTCATTGGCTGGATATATCTCCTCCTTCCAAAGCACCTGTAAGTGCCAATACTGCAAAAGTATGCTGTTATATCACTTAGAAAGAGTTGTTGGAAATGAAAGTAAAATAATTCAGTACTAATTCAATGTTAAAAACAAACAGGGGTTTTCTTTTTTTCCTTTTTTTTTTTTTTTCTTCCACTTGGGGAAATGCATTTTGATGGTGAAAAAAATGCAGACTTTTGAACTCTGCACATAGCTGTTCTGGTCATAAACTGCAGCTGTTTCTGGGAAAAGAGCTAGGAGCAAGCTCCTCCACACCATGGCCCACAGCTTGAGGGAGGACATTCTGGGGAGATGTTCAGCAAAGGACACTGGTTAATTGCCTTTTCCAACCAAAAAAAGCATCAGAAGATCCTTAGGACTCACAGCAAGAGCTCAGAGCAAATGGAATCTGCTTTTGTTATGGAAGAAAAGTGCTAAGATCTTCAGTGGCTTGAAACTGCAGAGACAGCTATATATTTAATATTCAGATTGCATGCTGTGAAGTAATAATTCAGACAGTTCATTTCCATTAGTGTAATAAGAAGCAGGTGGTTTTCACAGTGGGATTTCCTTTCCCCCTACCCTGACTTTGTTTGTTTCCTTTACAGATTGTGTCTAGACGTTTGTATTTTCAACAAATTAAACTTGTATTAGCAATTCAAAAGCAAATTTTATCTGTGTGTCTGAGTAGTATGATACTCCTGATTTCTAATATAAGTTACACTTGACATTTTTTAGTTCTAATAAGAATAACCATATTGCTTCAAAAGCAGTAAGATTAAGTGAAAGAGGAAGCTGTTTTAGAAACTGCTTCACCCCTGAATCATCTCATAGTTTCTCTCTCTGTGTTGGCTTTCCTCACCATTATATCCAAGAGCTCTCCAGACACTGCTGGAATTCATCCCTGTATTCCCCTGTGAGGCAGCAAACTACCCTACTTGCCAATAGAGAGCCAAAGCTCAGAGTGTAGCTTCATCTCAGGGTTACACAGAAATTTTGTTACTGAGCTGCAAAGGGAATTTGGGTCACTTCGATGAACTGGTCTGACTTCTCTTTATCTGACCTGTTGCTATCTTGCTTGGTTCATTTTGCTTCACTGAATTGCATTAAAACTTGAAGAGGAACCAGGACTAGTAAAGTCTTTTTAAATGGAGGCTGTCAGGAAGGCTGGATCTCTGCTGGCCTTCTTCAGCTGTTCTTACAGTGTTCAGAGTACGTTAGCATCTGACAGAAAACTAATAAGGATGCCTCAATGCAACTTTGCCACTAGCAAAAATTCTAAAAAAATTCCAGACTGGAGATCTCAGTACATTCAGAGTGTGTGTGGTTGTGTGTGTTTAGGCATGTAACACCCAAGTACTTCCATAACATAGGAAACTCCACAGCCTGCAGTCACCCTGAACATTCATGACATTAAGCAACAGGGCCTTGTATCTATGCAAAGCATTGCAAAATTCACAAGTGTGAGGAGAACTCCAAAGGTTTTTGTGTTAGTGGAGCATACCTGGTCTGTCACTTCCACACACAGGTTTAGTAGAGCTACAGCTGCATGCCCAGTTTTTCTTGTGTCTGCTTTTACCATTGAGGAATCTAGGTGAAAACTGAGGAGTCGTTTATTTGTCCATCATCTCTGGCTGCAGCCCACAAGGGCCCTGTGTGCGCTGTACATAAGCAGGCAGTCAGTGGAGCACATGTACTGCAGTATGACAAGTGCAAGATGCACTTACTGTGAATCTGCAGGCTGTGTATGCAACACATGCTTATATTTCTGTCCAGGAAATCCCAGATAGAAATGTGGGAGCCCAACATATGACAGAATTCCTGTGTTTCCTGAGTTTATAAGCAACTTAATCCAGATGTTATAGCAACATTCTTCTGCTTGTAGGTGTGCCGTGCAGAACTTCAAATAGGAACTTGTTTTCAAGCAATAAACAGGAGGATTCAGTTACAGATTCTTGAAGCACAAAACCTTCCAGTTTCATCTACACCACTGTCTTCAAGTAAGTTAATCAGCTGTCTTATGCCTCCTGTCTAAAAGCATTTATAACAGGTAAATTATTGCTCAAATGGGTTGGCAATTCATAACATTCCTTACAAACCTCAGAATATTGTGCAGTAGATTTCCATTGGCAAGGCTTGTTTCCACAGATGTCTTACTTGATTACTTTTTGTTTGGTTTGAAGCTATGTGTTTATGTATTTTGGAAGATTTTTATCCCAGTATTAATCCTGACATATAAGAGCATTAGCTTGCACTTGCTGTTTGGATACTGTGTTAATCAGTTCAATATTATTGAACATGGTCTGTTTGTGTGACTAGTCAGGAAAGCTATTGTACAGTTCTTTTGGCCAGACTTTTGGGAAATTACTGCAATCTGAACCATACATGTGGATCTTGTCTGTTCCTTTTTGGGTGTGTTTGTGAGTAACCCTTGGTGTGCTATGCCTTTTTCCCTCCGTTTTGTGCTAGATTTCTTTGTGAAAGTTGGAATGTTCAGTACAGAAGGGATCATCTATAAGAAGAAGACTCGTCTTCTGAAGTCGATTAATGGCCAAGTAAAATGGGGAGAAATGATGATTTTTCCAGTTAGCCAAGCTGAACAAGGAATTAGCTTTCTCATCAAGCTCTACAGCAGAAGCTCAGTGAGAAGAAAACACTTCCTAGGACAGGTTGGTTTCTGCTAATTGGCATGTTATTCTTTACTTAAAATCCAGTTCCACAGGTTTCTTGGTATGAGTTTTAAAATACTTTAAGGTGGCATATAGCAAAATAGTAAATTCTAATAAACTCTTCTGGACGTAACCCAAGAAAGAACAGTAGTGCACTCTTAAATATTCATAAACATCAGAATGGGAGTTGACATTTGATTTTTCTTTTCAAAACAAATCCTTAAGTCTTTTTTGTGTGGATTATTACTATGTGAAAGATTCCTTCCTACAGAGAGACATACGATCTCCTCCTTGCCTCTGGGCTTTCCAAAGAAAACAAACATAGCACTCACAGAGCTCCACAACCTACAATGTACTGTACAGAAGAGGAGTGTGCTGGCTTACCATACCAATACACTTACAAACAGGTGTATGTAAAAGGAAGTATCAACAGCTACAATATCAGACTGCCTTCCTGGGTAAAACAATGGCAAAATCGCACATGATTCTAAATATGTATGTTCAAGTGTTAACATAGATGATAAAATACAAAATTATTGTTTAGTTGAATGCTCTTCTTTCCTCTCTCTCCTTTTTTTTTTTAAACAGCTGGAACTTCAGTAGTATCTCTTTAAAGGCATTTGTATGATCATATTTATTTAAACACAGTAAAGCTTGGTAGTCTGGTCTCCTTTTATTCTCTCTGTCCTCCTGTCCTCTTCCCCTGTTTGTTCTAATTTCCCATCATTCTGTCTCTTCTTTCTCTCCTTTTCTTCTTGGTGTAGTGAGCCACAGCTGTTCTTAATGCTTTGTGCTTTTGCTGACCCAGCTAGATTTAGTAGCAGAATTTTAATATATGCATAAATGAGTAACGCAGGATTGATATTGAGACACCAACTGTAATGTCTCTTGTCAGGTGAAGAACTGTGCTATCCTTAAGTACAGAAAATATTACTGTCCCATTCTGGTGATGTTTCTTGTGTCTGCTGAAGACGTGCAGTTATAGGAGATGCCGATGTGCTATAGAAATGATGTGCCAGCAAGAGCTATGTGAAGTTCCTCCATTTTATGGAGCCTCATGTCACACATGTTCCATCTTTCAGTGATTCCTGTTGGTTGGATTTGGAATACAAAAAGAAAAAAAAGTTCCTTTTAGCTGTGCTACCTTGGGGTGAAAATAACTGGGTATGATTTTGCAGTCACTTAACAATATATGAGGTCATCTCAATCTGACGAGTTACATTTAATCATGGATCTTATTTTTAGGGGGAGGAAATGAGCTACTTATCCTCAGAGGTTATGTGGAAAAGGTTGTTTCAGCTCATGCAGGCAGACATTGCCACATAACACATGAAGACATAAAATATGGCTCAGGGAAAAATGTACTTTGAGCAATTGGCTGGGTAGCTGGAAAAAGATGAATATAGCTGGATCTATTAACTTTATTCTTCAGAGAATGATGTTTAATTGGATGCTGTTCTAAGCAGACAATACTTAGATTAGGCTGCTTTTACAGGCATGTCTTTAATCATGAGCAATATGCATATTGAATCTCTGTGGATGAAACATCAGCTGTCTGTGGCATTCTGGAAGACATTATTCTCACTTATTGAGGACTCACGCCTCAGCAGTGTAGGCTAAATGTACTTTATGGTGAAGGTTTCTCAGAAGTCTTAAAAGGACTCATTCTTGGAAGACTTGAGGAAATAGAGTCTTGTAAATAAAGATACCTACTTACATAAGCAGAATTCTTTTGGCAATGGGGGCTGGTGATAATGTTCCAGGGGAAAACTTCCTACTTGTACCTCATTTCCTCATTTAATGGCCACTATACCTTACTTGAACACCAAGAAGAATCGGACTCTTACTGCATGACTATGTGTGGTATAGGCATGTTAGTAACCTCTGTGGAATGCAGGTTTGGCCTTGTCTCTTGGCGTGAGCAATTTTAAATGCTTATGAAAATGCTGGACAGCTAGCTCAGGATGCCAAATGGCTTGCAGCCAACTGGAGTTCAAGTGCATAGAGCCATCACTGGCCCTGATGAGCTCTTGACCCCAGTATGTGCATTTGAATGGAGCAGGAAATGCTTGACTTAAAAACATCTTATTAAGTAGAGAAACATTAGTATGTAGTGCATTCTCTAAACTATTTTAGAGGTTAAATTTAAACCCAGACTCCCTGTGTTCCCGGCTGAAAGCCAAAATACGTTAGTCCTAATAGAACTGTATTTGTTGGTGTTATGTTTTGGTCACAGTCTACACGTTGTATCTTATTCTACACTTCCATGGCATTTATTTGGAACTAATAAAGGCTGGCCCTCTGTGTTGTATCAGGTAAACTCAATTTTATTTTTCTTTTTCTTTCTTACTGCAGATCTGGTTAAGTTCTGATAGCAGTAACAGTGAAGCAGTAGAGCAGTGGAAAGATACTATTGCCAACCCTGAAAAAGTTGTTGTTAAATGGTACAGCATTGGTCCATCTTGAAGACTGGAGATGAAACTCGGGACTGATTTTTCTACAAAGATAGTCGTATGCCGTTTAAAATAGTATAAATAAAAAGAAAAATATGGTCTACACAAGTTCATCAGAAGTTCTACACTGCATCACACCTCCATGGTAATGGAAAATTCAGTTTCAGCAAGAGAAATACTGGCTAAAAATTATTAAGAAAAAGACGTAAGAACTGGGCAAAGTGCTCATTTGCTTTTAAAAAATCCACCTTGAAAAATGTATTTTTACCCCTTTCAGGATCCATAATAGCAGAGAAATCCAATCTAGGAGAGAAGCAGCTCGAATCAGGATTTTCTTCACTAGTCACTGACATCATCCTCATCTGCAATCTCGTCTTTGGCAGACTCCAAAGTCCATGAGAATAAGTTGGTCTGTGGCCTGATCCTAGGCACCTCTGAGCCTCTGGGGTTACACCGGGGTTACACCATTTATCAGAGGAACGTGTGCCTGAGCAAGTGGGAAAGCAGTGGCAGTAGGAGAAGGCATAAGGGGAATGATGCAATAGGCAGTAGCCAAAGGCTTTTCTAATCTCCATCTTTGAAGATAGAGATGTTCAGTACCCTGATGTGCCTGTAGCTTGGGTTTTCCCCCATCCTTCTCTCTAAATGAAAGGGCTGAAATAGAATGGTTTCTCTGACTAACTGTGATCTTCACAAGTGGGGTCCTCCAGACTTGCTCTGTTTGGGTGAATTCTTCTTGGAATCAGTAGAATAACACGAAGAGGCAACAGCCCTGCCTAGGATCAGAGCTGATATTTTTAGATAAACTACTTTCTTAAAAAGAATTCTTATATGTAAACCACATACTATCTAATCAACAATGTTCTAGCATTTGCTTACATTGCTAAAAACCAGACTAACATGTATGAAGGAGTAAGCAAATATTTACTGATATAAGTGCTTTTTGATGTTAATTAAAATGCAGCACAGTAAGGGACTCAGACTTTGTTTAAAAGATGGGCTACTACTGCAGAAGTATTTGTTACGTGTCTAGGATACTGAAAAATTATGTGTGGGAGTATATTTTTCTTGTTTATAGCAAGAAAAAATTACCATATTTTTATGGCAAATTACATTTTTCCTACAAAATCCTACGATTATTTTTCTATTAGTCCCCATATTTTCAGGGGTTTATTCACAGTTATTTTTAAGGTGAGAAAATGCCATGTATATAATTGATAATATATACATCTAAAAGCACAGACCTCTTTGCACTACTTTACTGGATTTTAAAAATATACATACTCCATTAAATCCACTGCTTTTGTTTTTTGTTTTCAGTCTGGACTGTACAAATATGTATGTTCATATAGGTGCTGAATAGTTGTATCTTTTTTATAACTTGTATCCCATTCAAACATCTGACAAAAATTATAGTGGCAGTGAGAGCACTTGCTGCTGGAAGGCAAAGGAACAGTGGAGAGCAGAGAAAACACTGTTACAGGAAAGCATGTTGGATTTAAGCAGAGAGCTCAGAGCATCTTTATTTTAACTTTTTTGACTTTGAGAGTCAAGAAAAAATGGAATATCTTTTTTTTTTTTAAACAGCTGATAATTGAAGCTTTTAGAACTTCAGTGATCCAGATTGTTGTTGAAATTTAGTATTTTGAAAATGGGCAAACAAAAGGATTTTCTTAGGCTCTTACACGTTCTGCTTGTTGACCAGTTTTTATAAACGAACTGAAAACGTTTTTGCATCTCAGAGAACAAACATCAGTTCTAGCTCTTACTGACACTCTGTGCAAAGCTTCCAGTAGGCCCAGAGGATCTTGACTGACAGTGTTAATTCCCAGCCAGTTCCTACACTTGGGATGAGCCTGGCCTGTTGGGTAAAATGAGAAAAGGAACTGGATCAAGCTGATATTCTTGGAGTACCTTTACTTGAATGCATGGATCTTTTTTATACATTGTGGCTGAACCACAGTAACAAAAGTGCAAGCTAACATTTCTTTATACAGAATCCTGCTCAATTTGAAAAAGAGGACAGGGAATATCCCGGTGTTTTGGAGGCTTCGATTACCATGGCAGTGGTTCTACAGATACTGTGTAAAATGGACTTTTAGGGCTGTCTTAGGACACATAGCCTTTTAAAGGCCTAACTAGTAATGTCTTCTTTTTCCTATGTTAATATTTAATCTATGTGTTTATAATAAAAGTTATGAACAGAAAATACTTTTTTTTTTCCCCCCATTGTTTATACCAGTGTTGACCAGCATCTCAAAATGAATATCAAGTCCTACCTTTTTCTCTGAGAAAATTCCAACTAAGGAACTATATTTCATGTAGTGTTACATGTAGGGGAGTTGGCTGCTAACACACTGAAGAGATATATGCAGCCTCTCTTTGCAAGGTGCACACAGGCACTAGAGTGCTCTGGAGAACATACTCTGGGGCACTGCTTCATCCTGTGCTCATTCTGGGGCTTTGGGGTTTTCTGCGTTTGTCTGTGCATTCAGGTAAGAATTCAATGAATTCTTAATCACTGGCTCAAGACACTGTGCGCTTTTTTTTTTTTTTTTTTCTTCTACTAAATTGGATCATTTAAGTTGCTTGTTGCCCAGATTTGTTCCTCAATTTGTCCAGAACGCTACAGTGCTATTGAGGAAACCGTATTTCAGGTTTAGAAAGCAGAAAGACCTTTATTGGTCTCGCCACAAAAAATTTGTCTCTGCTGACTCAATGCACACAACATTACTGAGAGCATGGCAGTAGAGCATTGGGATGTCCATCTCTACACATGCTCCGGCTTTGTTGTATGTAGCGAGGTAGGGAGGGAAACAGGCAATACTTGGCTGCAAGATGGTGAGGAAAACAAACCTATGTTGTGTTATTTTGGCTTTTTTTTTTTTTTTTTTAATACTACTTTGTCCTACTTGTGTCCTAATTCCTGGGAGGAAGCCAGGAATTCTCTTTGCTTTCATTACTGAGGAACATCATCTAAGGACAGAGAGGGACCTGCCCAGCTCAAGAACCAAAAAGTGCCTATTCATTGCATCAGCATTTACCTTGCAAGTAAACCAAAGCTGTGTTTCAAACAACCCATCACCTGAAATAATAGTCCAGTCTTCATAATAATGCCTGGTTTGGTGCTTCTGAGGATGCCTGACAGGTCAAAGGGGTTGTCCAGAGGATTGGTTACAGTGGGTTGGAAAGTGAAACTGTTTGGAGGATGGGAGCTGACAGTGAGTTAATTCTGTGAGGTTATCTGTGTAAGAAGTGCAGAGGTTGTACAGGAATGGAAAAATGGCTGGAAGGAAAAGTCACAAGTGCATGTTGAGAAGACAACTAGGATGCATGCACACTGACACTCTTGAACAGAATTGTGAAAAATGGAAGATAATTTGTGGTGTAGTACAATCAACCAGTCAGATAAACTTACTAGCTGTCACGTGAAGCATTTTTCATTGATGATTCAGTGGGTCTAGAGCTTATCAGTATGGTTGTTATGTTAGAGAGCAGTCTTGAAGAAAAAAAGAACGAAGAAAGGGGATACATGCATGTTCCTAGCAGCAGTCCCAGGGTACAACTGGCTTTAAATTGGGGTGTTCCAGCAGATGTTATTTCAATTTGAATGTCTTAAAAGGCCAGGTAAAATCACCTGGGATGTCTTGCTTTGGAAGTACAGAATATTTTGCTTTATTGCTTAGTGACTGCCTCACTATAAATGCATATGAGACTGGCTCCTTCAAATTCAGCTCCTAGCTTATTTGAGACTAAGGCAGTTTTCCAGAAAAGGAAAATAATACATCGTTTGAAGTCCAATCTACAATATAAATTAGCAAGGAACTTTATGTACTCCAGGATACATGCAAGAAGGAAAAAAGGTGTCTCGGAGCACTCTTCTTATAGTGACAGCTGTATGTTGTCCCTCTAATGCATGCTCAGCCACTATTTTGATAGCTACATCCAAGTTTACTGTCACTGGAAATACTGTTATGAAAGCTGTTTTGTCAGTTCACTTAATTTGTAGATAAAAGGCACACATGGTATATAGTCAGATTTGCTGTTGCTTCTAGTTAGTGACTGACTCAGCTTCCTAACTTATAACAATTTTGATGGAAGCAGCAGAGGTTCAGAAGCTGCACCAGTTTTATTTCAATCAGCTCCAAAATGGATGTAAGTGAACTGGCAGAACAGTTATGATCTTACATTAAACGTTATTCATACAGAGATTTGTGCATGCTTAGAAACCAACCATAGACTAAACTTAATCAGATTTTCCAGAATGTGTGTATATAGTTTCACTGGTTAATCAAACAATTCTGGTTTAAGTTTATTTATTTATGATTAATAGCATTCTGTATGTAAACGAGGCCAACAAATTTATTTTTCAAGTCTTTACATCTCAATGGCACAGCATGGCATTCCTTTTAAGGAAAAAAAAAGTAAGATTCTACCTCAAAAGCTGAGTGGGCGTAACAGTTTGTGAACCACATTATCATAAAATGTTACATGGAAAATAATTCTATTTGAGTATGCAATCTTTTGTGATCAGAATATAAATAGGGCCATGTTGCTAAATCCATTAGGCATCCCTGATCTTTTTTTGGCAAGAGATTTGTATAAAACAAAAGGTAATTTTGTAAGCATTCAGTTAAGCACATATGCTGTTTGACTTGAAAACTGTCTGCCCGATGGAGGTTGCTTTTTGAGTTATGAATTGATTTTGCAGCCAAAGCATAAAGTTGTCTAGAATGTGGGAGCAGGGTTGTCCCACTTCTTGCTTTTATCTTGCCAACATATGTATGACATGGGAGGCAGGCTGAGTAGTTGTGGACAGCTTGGTGTAAATCATGCTGGACATGATACGCCCCCCCTTGTTTTTTCCAGTTTCTGCTGTAAAATTACATCACCATGTAAATACAGCCCTGTACATGATCTCATGCTTGGTGCATGGAAAAAGCCATCACAAAATCAGCACCATGTTCCACAAACACTGCTCCAGCAGATTTACATTCTTTTCCCCAGCACGGAGGGACAGGCTATCATCTCTCACAATCTGAGGCAAAACTCCCATTGTGTTCAGCAGAAGCAACCAGTCTTCAAAGCTGTTTTAGTTATTTCAGCATTGATGGTCTTTATCTAACAAAAGGTTGCACACAGCTTAATTTTTAAAATAATTTTAAAATAGATAAAAATCTGTTCATAGTGATGTTTCCTTAGAAACTGAATTTCATTGAACGTGGATCTGCATCTCTTAAATATAATGCAATTTTCATTATTTCAGTGGCTTTGAAACAGATCTTCAATGCTGATTTTTTTCCCCATATTTCTGACTGTGCAACTTTTTCCTTCCTTTTATTTGCTTGTAGACTGCTCTTCTCCCTCAGCATAAACAAGTCTTTAAATGATGACTGCTTTTTGCAATTAACTTTCTGCTTTTCCAGTAATGTTTCCCCACTTCTTGATCTAGTATTGGGACCAGCGTTATACATGTCCTACTTTAGCTGTTCAAAAAACTAGCTATAAGCAGGCATGTTTCAATCCTAGGCCTTGGATCATGTCTGATGCTCTGCGTTTCTGAGCTACCTTTGCTCTCCTCTTTGATGGTATGGTTCTACTACCATTAAACACAACAACGGGACAAATCAGTTGTAACTTCTTATTGTGCACCTGGGTATCTTCACATGCCTTTCTCATCCTCCAAAAATTACCTTAGGAAATTATTTTGGGTGATGAGAAGAAGCAAGCTGTTTGTGCTTCTGGCCTTTGAGGACACCGTGGTTGTTAGACTGCCATTACCTGTGCTGTGAGGCAAAGAGGAAGGCTCAAGGAAGAGTCATAAAAAGCTGCACCTCCAGGTGGAGGGAGGCTTGCACCTCCTGTATATATGATCTGGGAAATGTTGCTTAGCCTGGGGACTGGAATCCCTTGCCAGATGCCCCAAGGGAGGGGTCATCATATTGTCCTTTTTGTCTTTATCTAAATAAATAGGGAATTTTTTCATAGGAGGAATAGTATGGCTCACAGATTTCTATGAAGCAGAGCACTGACTGAAAGATCTTGGCAGTCTTTGGAAAAAAAAAAAAAAAAAGTCATAGGAATGTACTTGTTAGTTTTAAATATAACCAAGCTTTGTCACCTCTCATAGGAGAGGAGTGAATTCTTAGTCTGTGATACATAGCAGAAGGAGAAAATGCATGTACACCCAAACCAGGGCTGGGTCTCCT